GCGGCGTGGAAGCTAATCTTATAAAGCCATTGTTTCAGTTTGTTTCCTGTGATAGCAATCTCAATCGGCTGCCCAGACCAACAACCTGAATGTCTCAGCGTCGGGGTTTCCTCTCCAACATTCCCACACAGAATGGCCTACTGTGAAAATCAAAGGGAAACGTGTTACTAAGTAAAGAAGCAACTTTTGTCTACAGCAAAACCTGCCCCCTTCTCCCCACCACCCTTTTTTTAGCCTTTTCAACCCTGAGGTATGCGACAGGCGATTTCCTATCCGAAAGCTCACCTTGGTCAGCAAGGCTTAGATCATGAATTTGCGGTTGGCTGTCAAGCTCAGCAACTCTGTCTTGATCAGAATTTGCTGGATGGTGGGCAAGCGAGAAGCGTAAGGGTTTTAGTTCTGGGGTTTCTTGCACACGGTACCTCCAAGAGCCCAGAGGCCCACTCTTGCCATAAATGCATTTATTTGTTACCAATGGTTTTTATGTTACGCTGTAACTTGCTGCTATGTGTGGCAGGCAATGAGAGAGGGCTCTTTGGATCCCGTTATCGCCGTGCCGGAAGAACATGGCCAGGTAAGTGCTCACTTCCTTTGGGCCCTTAAGAAACTATGGCCCAGAGACAGCAATGGCATCTTTATAGATTACACAGAGAAAGGGCAGCGGCCTGAAGTTCCAAGGTGGGTCGACCTGACCCCAAGCCCTGTACTCCTGCACGCGTTCCACAAAAGCAAAATGGGGCGAGAAAAGAAAAGAGAGAGAGAGACATTCCATCTACCATGATTCCTGAAAGCAGTTTCCAAGAAATGCCTGTTCCAGGGCCGGCCTGAGTTGCAGCTGGGCGGAGACGTCAGAGGAAAGAGGCGGTTGAAGACCCACCTTCTCCTCCCCAGCACGGAGTTCCCTCCCTCCTCCCGTGAGGCATTTATGGGAAGGAAAAAAAACCAACAACCCAAAAAAACCTTCAAGGACACCAGGCCAGAGGGTTCAATGTAGAAACTTTTTAACCTTCCCATCAGTTTCCCTCTGGCCAGAGGCGGCTGGAGCTGACATACTGTCGAGGGCAGGTCGTTTGTATCTGTAACTTGCAACAGCTCCTGAATTGGGACAGGTGATAGCCAGGTATGACGAGTCCTCTCTCCCTTGGCGCCTCGCCCACCGGCTCACACCCGCATGCTCGCACGGAGACATG